CTACTGGCACGGCGCGGCGGGCGCCGCATGGGGCGCCGCGGTAGTTCAAATTTCTGCGCTGCTTTGGTAATTTGGTCATAACTTTGTGTAGGAATGTCCGAATGACGAACGGTTTGATGCGTTGGAAACTAGACTCAAAGACCTTTTATTTTATAGGATGTTAATAACACAAATCCTTATATAACAGGAGATATAGTTGTCCAAAGTGAGGTCTTGTGCGCACTCATTTGCAACTTTCGTCTATTATGAAGTTTTATAACTTGGCTTAGACTTAGGACTCTCCTTAGACACCAATTCACTTCTAATATGACTTATACACTTATTAATATATCCAATTGATATCATAATATCCTTAATCCTCATTTGTACGCAAGATAAAATATTTAGCCTACCTTGGCTCCACGAAATCTTAAATTACTAAACAAAATTTTCTGGGGCTTTACATGTTCCTACTGCCACAACTTCCCATGCTGAAATTGGTTCCTCTAATGGTAGTAGGGCAATGAAACAAGTTAACATCAAGATTCCTGCAGATGGTAACCTTTTGAAGAAATCATGCCAAACTGACGTTTGGTTGATACCACTGTTAGGCCTAGTTGGGAAGTCTAAACTGGAAAGTCACAGCTCTCTAACATGGATGAATGATATTGTGCATTCATCCTTGAAGGTATAAACCTTATATTTTTATTTTATGTGATTTTTCTTTTACTAGTATCATATTTCGTTTTTTATTATGTAGATCAATCTCATCAGTACAGAGATGATGAAAAGGATTGTCCATACGGAGCAACTGATGAATGACTATCATACTGAGGCAGACAATTGGAAAGAGCAGTACAAAGGTCTTCAACTTGAAATGGAAGTTTTAGAGGAAGATAAGTGTACTTGGAGCAGCAAGTAAAGGTTATGACAGCGGAACTAGCGGTTGAAAAAGCCTGTTCTAATCAGGCGAGTAAAGATAAGAACCTTCTTGAGTCTTCATTTGCTGAACAACTTTCTAAAGCCACTGAAGAGATCAGAGGTCTAAAATACCTATTGACCCAGAAAGAAGTTTACACTGGTGAGCTTGTTCAAACGCTCACTCAAGCTCAAGAAGATCTCCGAGTGTCTTCTAATAGAGTTCAATTTGTGGACAGTTCACTTGCCCCCTTGCAAGCTTCTTATGATGCAGACTTGACTGAAAATGAAGAAATTAAAAGTGATATTAAGCATTGGGAAAGAGATTACGAAGCTCTTGAAGATAAGGTTGCCGTTGAAGTTAGTTGGGCTTTCTTGAACACACGCCATGACACTTTGATGGAAACAAGCCGGGATGGCTTTGACTTAGCTTCTGAGATTGCAAAGATCAAAGAAACTATTGAGAAAACCCAACAAATTCAGAGCTTTTCTTCACCAGTGACTGATACTCTTGAGGGTGATGAAGTTACTCCTGGTGACGCTGCTATTCAATCTCCTTCCACTCAAGTTACTCTTCTTACTTCTGATGATGTTGTTCTTCATCCTACCGGTTCAGATTCTGTGCCTCAGTGAAAGTTTAAGAAATTTTGAAGTGTTGTTTTATTTTTATTTTTTTATTGGTGGAACATTTGGAGGCTTACCCCTGGTCCCATTTGGGGGTAATGTTTTGGAAAATCATACCCCTAGTCCATTTTAGGGTTTTTGTATAAGATAATCAGGTTGGAACTAAGTTCATACTTAGTTTTAACTAAGTTATTATAATACTATAAAGTTTCTGTCTCACTTCTATAATACCCTTATTTAGAGTTTCTGTTCTACTCTCTAAGTGGTTTACCCTTGCTTTATCCTTATAAGTTTGGGCTTTATTTTTCACTTATTTGGATTTTTGTTTTATCCTTTGTTATCTTTACTTTTGTATTTAAAAATGCGTCATTGCTTCGTGACTCTTTTGAACAAGCACAAATTATAAAAAGAGGGCCCTTTTATATACGACACTTAATGAAGAAGACGCCTCAACTTCATAATGGTGTAAACATACAAAATAAGAAATAGGAACACACATGCTTCTTTGTATAACTTTGAGGAAAGTTTTGTATCACTCGAACTTTCAAATTATAGAACACTTTACATGTATTTAAGTACCATCTATAACTCTTTCGTAACTGCTTTATTTACAACAGATTTGTATAAAGAAATTCAAGGGTATATCTTGCAACCCGTGATTAAATATTGACTTTAACCTAAACATTCGTAAGATTTTGAATTTTACATCCACGAGTGTATTCTTCATAGGTTTTTGAATCAGGCTTGTGTTTTTGGCTACTCGTGACTTTGCTCTAAACTTTCGATTTGTTGGGTAAACTTTAAGCTTGACTTGAATTCTGATTTTTCTAGTCTTCTTTGCCTTCATTATATATATAGTCCCCCAAGTGTTTGAATTTTGAAGTATGGAATCTCAAGCACTTGACTATTCCTTCCATGTGGTCCTTTTCCTGAAAAAGAAAAAATGTATGAGACTCGGAAGCATATATAATTTAGATGATGACTGCTTAACCCTTTATATTTCCATAAGAAAAGTTGTAACCCTAGACCGGAATTATGTTACTTCTACGTGTCTTTCAGGTCTAATATCATCATTTGGTGCGGGCTAGCTTTTTGCCTATCATCTAAAATTGTTAGTATAATTTTAACTATATAAAAAAAATTGTAATTGAGGGATACACATTTCTTTACTTAGAAATAATACTTTTTCAGATGAATAGTATTCCAACTCGAGGGTAGAACCTTCCCATCCATGGTTTCCAACTCGTATGCACCTTTTCCAGCAATACCTCAAACCTTGTAAAGTCCTTTCCAATTTGGATTCAATTTTCCTATATTGGTTGCTTTTGTTGATTGAAAATCTTTCTTGAGTACGTAGTCCCCAATCTTGAAGTACCTAAGATGAGCTTTCCGATTGTAATATCGCTTAATAATTTGCTTCTGCGCAACCATCCTTATCAAGGCTGTTTCTTTCCTTTCTTCAAGCAAATCAATATTTATTTGTATCTCCTCCTCATTTGACTCTTTGGTTGCTTGGTTGTATCTTGTACTTAGTTCACCTATTTCAACTGGAATTAAGGCTTCAGCACCATACACAAGTGAAAATGTTGTCTCCCCCATTCTCGTTTTTGCTATTGTTCGATAAACCCGTAAGACTCCAGGTAACACTTCTGGCTACTTACCTTTTTGACTCCTCTGGCCTTTTCTTCAAGATATTAATAATAACTTTGTTTTTATTCAGCTTGTCTGTTGGCCACGAGATGATAAGGTGTTGAAGTAATCCTTTTAATTTGCTAATTTTGAAAGAATTTTGTGATATTTGCACCTATGAACTACGGGCCGTTATCATACACGATTTCTTTTGGAACCCTGAACTGACATATGATGTTTCGCCAAATGAAGTCCCTGACTTCTTTTTCATATACCTTTTTGAAGGCACCTGCTTCTACCCACTTAGTGAAATAATCAGTGAGCACTAATAAAAATCGTACATTTTCTTTGGCTTATGGTAGTGGACCCACGATATCCATCCCCCATTTCATAAACGGCCATGGTGCAATAACCGGGTGTAATAACTCTGCTAGACGATGCATGTTGTTACTGTACCTTTGACATTTATCACATTTGGCCACAAAGCTTTCTGCCTCCTCTTCCATTTTTGGCCAGTAATACCCTGCTCTAATTAGAGTTGTTACCAAGGATCTTCCTCTTGCATGATTTATACAATGTCCTTCATGTACTTCTCTCATCACATACTCTATTTGAGAAGGTCCGAGATACCTTGCTAAAGGACTACCGAACATTTTTTGATATAAATTGCCTCAATCCAAACAATAATGGGCAACTTTTTGTTAAAGTACCTGAGCTTTTTTCTTATCCTCAGGTAGGATTCCTACTGCAAAAAGTTAATGATCTCGTTTCTCCAATCCCAGGTTAGATTATTATAATTTACCTCATTTTTATCTTAATGGAGTTCTTAATGAAACAAATGTATTATGGAAGCATTTTCTTCATTTGTTACTTCTGCAGCGGATGCAGGATTAGCCAATGGTCTGCTTCGATATTTTCTTCCCTGGGTATCTGTACGATTTTCCAAGATCGGAATTGTCTGACCAAATTTCGTGCCTTTTCCAAATATTGTTGCATCCTCGCCTCTATAGCTATATAAGTCCCCTATATTTGATTAACTATGAGCTGCGAGTCGCTTTTGATTATAACCTGCTCTATTCCGAGCTCTCGTACCAATTCTAAACCTACATAGATTCATATTCCGCTTCATTATTAGTAATAGGATGACACTTTATGGCTTGCCTTATAGTTTCTCCCAAAGGTGGGATTAGAACAATGCCTAAACCCGATCCTTTAACATTCGAGGAGCCATCATTAAATAGGGTCCAAGTACCTGGATTGGACCTGTTAAATATCTGCAGTTCTTTTTTAGCTTCTATTACCATACCTGGGCTACAGTATGCCACGAAATTTGCTAAAACTTGTGATTTTATCGCAATCTAGGTTGATATGTGATGTCATATTCACTTAATTCTATGACCCACTTGGCTAATCTAGTTGATAACTCTTGCTTATACAATATATTTCGTAAAGGGTAAGCAGTCACTACAGAGATAGGGTGACATTGAAAATGAGGCCTTAATTTTCTAGAAGCCATTATTAGTGCTAAAGCAAGTTTTTCTAAATGAGGATACCGATTTTCAGCATCTAATAAGGATTTGCTAACATAATAAATTGGAGATTGTTTACCTTTATCTTCTCGAGCTAATACTGCACTTACCGCCACTTCTGACACAACAAGATATATAAGTAGCTTTTCATCGTCTTTTGATTTGGCCAGCAATGGTGGGTTTGACAAGTATGCCTTTAAATTTTTGAGCGCTTGTTGGCATTCTTCAGTCTACTCGAATTGGCTTTGCTTTTTTAATACTAAAAAGAACTTAAAACTTTTATCCGAAGAATTAGAAATAAATCTTCCCAATGCTGCTATCCTACCTGTCAATCTCTCCACTTTTTTTTTTGCTCGTGAGTATATCCGGTATTTCTTCAATAGCTTTAATCTTCGCTAGATTTACTTCAATTCCTCGGTTAGAAACAAGGAAACCTAAGAACTTACCTGATGACATGCCAAATGCACACTTTTCGGGATTTAGCTTCATATTGAACTTACGGAGAATCTGAAATGTATCTGACAAATGTTGGATGTGATCCCCCGCCTGTGTTGACTTGACTAACATGTCTTCAATGTAGACTTCCATGGTTTTTCCCAGGTACTCCTGGAACATTTTCGTTACTAACTTCTGGTATGTGGCTCTAGCATTCTTTAGACTGAAAAGAATGACTTTATAGCAGTAAGTCCCCCTTTCCGTAATAAAAGAAGTTTTTTTCTCGTCTACAGGATCTATTTTTATCTGATTATATCCAGAATAAGCATCTAAAAAAACTTAACAATTCATGTCCTGCAGTAGCATCGATTAGTTGATCTATGTGCGGCAAAGGAAAAGAATCTTTAGGGCAAGCTTTATTCAAATCAGTATAGTCTACACAAACTCGCCACTTACCATTCTTTTTAGGCACCACTACAGTATTAGCTAGCCAATTAGGATATTTTACCTCTCGGATAGACCCAATTTTTCAAAGCTTTTGTACCTCATTTTGAATCACCTGGTTTTTGGAGGATCCTTGCTTCATTTTCTTTTGTTTGATAGGTGGGTGCGTTGGATCTTCATTTAGCTTATGGGTCATCACCTCCGGGGGTATACTTGTCATCTCTGAATGCGACCAAGTAAAGCAATCTGCGTTAGCTTTTAAAAATTCAATTAACTTAGGTTTTAACTCTGGGCTCAGATTGGTTCCGATGTAAACTTTTATGTCCCTCCAATGTATAAATAGCACCACAACTTCGAGTTCCTCGATTGTTGTTTTGATGTTTTCATTTTCCTCTGGCTCTTAAATAGTATCTGGCATTAAGTCTACATCCGTCTGTCCGTCTTAGGTTGAGGTTTGAGTTGTTAAGCCCTCAACCGAATTCTGTAGTTGTTATTTTTCTTCTGCAACGTCATTTTGTATGCTTGAATACGCCACTGAATTGATACTCCTAGAGGCTTATTGATCACCCCGGATTTGCCTAATTCCCCATTGAGAAGGGAACTTAATAACCCGCTGTAAAGTATATAGAACATCATCCATATCGTGAATCCAAGGTCTGCCGAGTATCATATTATATGCCATGTCCATATCTATTACTTGAAATTTCGTATCTTTTATCACTCCTTTTGCGAATGTGGTGAGTATTATCTCCCCTTTTGTAACAACGCTTGAATTGTCAAATCCAGATAAGGTACGTGCTTTAGGTACTAATTTGTCATCAGCTTGAATTTCGTTTACCACTCTTAAAAGAATGATATTTATAGAGCTGCCTGGATCAATCAAAACTTGTTTTACATTAGTATCATGTACAAGTAAAGATATTATCAGTACATCATTATGTGGGATCAACATGCCATCTGCATAATCAAATATTATATTGTCTTCTTCCAAAACTTGGAGACCTCGCTTCCCATGGGTGACTGTGATTTTTGATACCTTTTTTTTGCAGCCGTATATGTCACACTGTTGACCTTCTCTCCTCCGCTTATGCCATTAACTGTTCTCTTTGGTGACAGAGGTTTTGGGGGCTCCTGTCTATTATTCATATACGCTTGCTTACCCTTCTCACCAAACAATTCAGTTAAGTAGCCTTGTATTAATAAGTGCTCTACTTCACCTTGTAGCAATCTACAATCTGTTATTTTATGACCGTGATTATTATGAAACTCACACCAGAAATTTGGGTTTCTTCTGTTGGGGTTCGATCTCATTTCTTTCGGCCACCGCACCTTATTTCCCATGCTTTATAAAATAGCTACCAACTCAGATGTGCTAACATTGAAACTGTAACCACCAATCTTTGCTTTTGAACTTCTATCGTTATCCTGCGCATTTTCACTCCTTTCCCTCATAGCAGAATAGTAGGTTTTATTACCTACAAACCAAAATACATGCATTAGCTCTCCCTAAAAGGAGAAGGAAGGCTGGAATGCCAATAGGCATCTATTATTGATTTCACCCTACCCTGACTCATTGTACTAGTTACTGCTATAGTTAGTGTTGTATTGGTGTATTTCTAGTGAACTTACATAGCGAGCTGTAAAGGTAGAAAAAAATAGATCAATCAAGAGATAGTGGTTCTAAGCAAGGACAAACGACTGAGGATTGGCCAGGGAGAGTCATCTCATCTTATGTGTCTCGCTCCTTCCCAAACTTGGATGATGAACCTGAATCTCTGTCCCTAGATCTGGAATCATACCTTAGGTTCTCCTGTTTTGAACGTGAATCCCTTCCTACTGGTCCCATGTACCGTACATGTTCTTACCGAACCTTTTTTCAGTTTCTGGTAGCTTCAGTGTTGATACCCAATTGTTTCCTTATATATTTTTAAAATATGCACATATAGTTTCAAATAGTGCACATGCATTTATAAATATGCACAAGTTGTCACGACCCCAAATACCCGATCGTGATGGCGCCTATCACCTTACTAGGCAAGCCAGCCCAAACCATTAACCACAATAAGTTTCTTTTATAAAACATTTTCTAACACAGGTTTAGATACCAAATTTTCATAATAAGTGTTTAAAACAACAAAATATAAGCGGAAGTCAAATAAACATGAACTACACAACCCCAAATATCTGGTGTCACACGTCTAGAGCCTCTACTACGTAACTGACTATATGATACAGCATAAGTCTAGAAAATGCGGAAAAGAACAAGATAAGAAGGAGAAAATAGGGCTGCGGACACCATGCTACCTTGAAATCTCCGGCAACCTCTGAATCAGCTAAGGACCCTCACTTTGCCACTCGGGCACCTGGATCTGCACACAAGGTGCAAGGAGTAACATGAGTACGCCAACTCAGTAAGTAACTAAAGTAAATAAGGTCTGAAAGCAGTGAAGAGCAGCTAAAAAATCATATAACTGAATAAACAACAGGATAACAAGTCAACTTCACATTTTGAAAACCAATTTTCGTTGAAAAATCATCAATTCCAGTTTAAATTCTTGAAATTATATACTTAGCAATTTCTTACAACAGAGGCTTATTTCAAAAGAAGAGTGAAATTAGTGAAAATAACATAACTGGGGCCCTCGGACGAGGTATCACTTAGAATATGGCCCATCGGGCAGCCTCTCAGTCACTTATGACTCAACTCTCGTCACTCAATACTCACTCTCAGCACTCAGGCTCATTATTATCTCATAGTAATAAAATCATAGTAACCGCTGTGGTGTGCAGCCCGATCCATAATTTATAATCGATTACGCTCATTGGGGGTGTACAAACTTCGGAGGGGCTCCTACAGCCCAAGCATCATATCGCTGCGGCGCGCATCCCAATCCAATATATATATCGCTGCAGCGTGCAACCCGATCCAGTATATATATCGCTGTGGCGTGCAACCCGATCCATAATATATACATGTAATATCCTCACTATTAGGTTCTCAACCTTCTCAGACATTAGCCTCGCAGCCTCTTGGCACAACAATAGAAATTAGGGAACTCAGCCCAAACAGTCCTCACAATTAGAAGTGGAGTGATAAAACCAGTTTTAAATATTTAAACAGGTAAAACATGACTGAGGATATGTTTTCAACAAATAAACTCAGGAAAAATAGTAAAAATGCCCCTAAGGGTATTAACAGGTCGGCACAAGGCCCCAATCATGGCATATGGCCCATAATACATTATAAATGACTAAAGTACGAAATATCATAAGGTTTCAAATCAAATACGCGGCTCAATAGTCGCTACGGAATGGACCAAATCACAATCCCTATCGGTGCACACCCACACACTCATCACCTAGCATGTGCGTCACCGCATTTATCAAAACAAGTCAAATACCGGGGTTTGTACCCTCAGTTCCAGATTTATAATGGTTACTTACCTTAAACTGGTGAAAATACTACTCTATAATGCCTTTGCCCCTCGAATCAGCCTCTACTCGTGTCGAATATATCCAAAATCAGAATCACGGCATCAAATTATGCTAAGGGAATGAAGCCCAAGCGAAAACAATCAAATAATACCAAAAATTCCGAAATTACCAAAACCCGGCCCCCGGGCCCACATCTCAGAATTCGATAAATTTTCATCAATAGATTCCTCATCTCCCCACAAGTTCATACATATCAAAAGTTCTGAAATCTGACCTCAAATGGTCCTTCAAATCTTCAAGCAAAGGTCTAAGTTTCCAAGCCCTAGTTTCCCAATTTTAGCCCTTAAATTCCATTAATCATAGCTCAAATCCGTGAAATAATAGCATAGGAACGAGTCTTAGGTCGAAATTCCTTAGCTCAATGAAGTTCTCTTGAAATCCATCTTTTAAATCGTCCAAAAAGCTCCCAACCCGAGATAGAAATGGTGAAAAATAGCTCAAAATCGCGCAGGCCACAATTTATACTTTCTACCCAGACATTTTCGCATCTGCGGCCCAATTACCGCTTCTACGGTACCGCATATGCGGCCAACTAACCGCTTCTGCAGTTCCTCACTTAACGGCCAAAACCGCTCCTGCGATCAACATTCCGCACCTGCGCCTTCGCAGGTGCGGTCCATCAACCAAATCTGCGGTCCATGCCTTCCTAGGCTTTTCCGCTTCTGCGTCTTCCATTATCGCACCTGCGGTCCCCAATCCGCAGGTGCAAAAATACCAGAAGCAGCAAATTTAACAGTTGCAGCAAAGTTTCAAACTCCCCGTCAACCATCCGAAATCACCCCGAGGACCTCGGGACCTCAACCAAAGGCACCAACAAATCCTAAAACCTTATTCAAACTTGTACCAATCTTTAAAACACTTCCAACAATATCAAATCAACCAAAACACATCAGATTCAAGCCTAAGTTTCCAAAAACTTCCGAATTTCGCTTGTGATCAAAACCCCAACCAAACCACGTCCGAATGACCTGAAATTTTGCACACATATCCCAAAGGACACAATGAAACTACTGCAACTTTCTGAATTCTATTCCGACCCCTATATCAAACTCTCTCCTACCAACCGTAAATCGCCAAAATATCAGCTTCGCCAATCCAAGCCTAAATCTACTCCGAACCTCCAAAACTCATTCCGATTGTACTCCTAAGTCCCAAATCACCTCCCGAAGCTATCTGAACCATCAAAACTCATATCCGAGCCCTCTAACACATAAGTCAACATCCGGTTAACTTTTCAACTTAAACTTCCTCAAAAGAGACTAAGTGTCTCAAACCCTCTCAAAACCTTTCCAAAACCCAAGCCAACCAACCCGATCACTCATAGAACCTATATACAAAACAATAAGAAGCATAAATGAGGAAAACAGAGCGGTAACTCATGAGACGACTGGACGGGTCGTCACACAAGTATTTATACAATTTTTCTATAATTTTAAAGGGCTTTAAATCAATTCATTTCTGCATTTTATTATACAAATATCCAACAATTATCTCTCATATTATTTTTACGATGATTTAATCATCTAAACTCATCATTTGTGCCCATATAATGCTTAAATATTTTAATTGCATTTTTTATAATTACATTTGTATTTTTTAGGGCTGGAATTACATATTTTGCAATAATAGCCCATATATATGTATAGCTATATTATCTATACAGAAAATGACTTTCTATATTTTTACAATATTAAGTAATTATTTTAAATTATTTTCATGCATAAATGATATTTTTATCATTTATTATTTTTTTTTATAAATTTTTTTAGTAATTTAAATGGGTATATAAAACATAGTCCCTTTCCAAATTAAAATTCGGACCTAGACCAACCCCAATTTACCTAGTCCAATTACCCTTGGCCCAAACCCATTAGCCCAGTCCCTTACCCACTTAACTAACTCAACCCAGAACTCCGACCAATCATGGCCGTTGACCTTTGAGATCAACAACCCATATTATTTCTACCCCTTTTAATTAACCTAATAAGAAACCCTACCCCATTCCCTCAAAACCCGACGTCCTTAATCTCTCTCAACGCCCTCTCTATCTCTGTCAAACCCTAGTGCTGTCACCCTCAAATCTCTCCTATTCTGGCTAAAACATGGAATCAATCCATGATTTACTTACCTATTGTTTTACTTTATCATTATACACTCGTCTGTGGTATTACTTAGATTCTTGCCCTATTTTTGGCAAGAACTACCTCAATAACGGGTAGATTCACCCTGATTCTGTGAAGATATGGACGATCTTCTGTCCATATTCATGTTTTATTGAATGATTCTTGCATCCCTAGTCCGATTCAAAGCATCAGTCTCAATTAGAGTTTGAGATCTTTCCTTGTTCTTTTCTGATCTCTTATTGATACTCTTTCCTTTATTGTATTCGACTAATATTTTCCTTATTTCTGTTTAATCTAACGTGTTTCATTTATTTTTACCATATTTTGCCCTAAATTAGGATTTCAGATCTTTTCTGGTTCGATTTTGTGTTTCCTTTTGAATAATATCCCATCTATGTTCATTTTATGCAAATATGTGGTTATTTGCTTTATTTCTGCCGATTTTATGGGTTACCTAAATTGAGGGTTTCAAACCCTTTTGCTTGAACCAAATCTGGTTCAATCCTACTCTTCTTTGGAATAATCCCTGTCTACATTTATTTTTGTGCTAGTACATGATTCTTTGCCACTATTCTCTGCTGATTTTGGGATTTACCTAAATTAGGGTTTCAGATCCTTTTTACTTGAACCAAATATGGTATTCCTTTTCGTTATATGCCTTATGTGATTCTTTACCTTTTCCATACTGATTTTGTGTATCTTTACCTAAAGTTTAGGGTTCAATTTTACTAATTTAAACACTTAACTTTCTAGTGTTTGACAAATTTGTTTTTTCATCTTTATGTGTTTAATTCCTACATTATTTAAACCCTTTCCCCTTTCCCCTTTAGGACAAGTATCAAACTCTTCTAATCTCACTACTAAAATTTAAGTTCTCTCTCTTGCTCCTGTTCTGATTTCTACACTAAGTGGCTATTGTTTGGCCGACTGAAAGTCAAGGCCAAATTACTCTGGAATTTAATTACTATTGCACATTTACTTTCTTTCTTCATAACTGGTATGCCCTAACCTTTGCAATTTCCTTCTCTATGCTTTGTGTGACTAGCCTGGTTCAATTCCTAGCATGATTCTGTCCTTTATATAGTAATTTGATAATATTGTTAACTTATTATTAAGGTATTTAGAATAACAGGAATCCTCTCATAAGTTGGTTAAAGTTCGATATGTTTGTCAGTTTTATACCTGTTCTGAACTTTGTAAGACACTATAAGCATATAATCAAGTATGTGTGTGCTTAACTCATCTATCCTGTCTATTCAATTCAAATATTTTCTACCTAATTGCTTCTGTGACTAAGCCATGACTGTTTCAAATGCTAGCATAAGCATTTAGCTTAATCAGACTTCACCATGTTTGAACTGTATGCTGAACCTGAACCTTGTTTGTTTCTTGGAGCAGTTCTGCCTGCAACTCTATATTCTGAACTTTCTCTTCTGAAAATTGAGATATTTCAAAACTTGCCCCTTACCCTTTATGCACTGGTTTTCGAGCTCCTACTCTTAGTCATTTAGGTTCTCACCACCCTCAGTGTGAGCACTGCCTAGGGTCCTTGAGACTCCTTTGAACTCTGACACATTGGGGCTGGTTTTTCCAATCTTTTATGAACTCTGTGCTTAATGTGTGGTTCTAGTGTGAGCATTTTCCTAGGTACCTGAGGCTCTTTGAGAACTTTGACACACTAGAAGCCTGGTTTAATGTGTTGTGAATGGATCACTGCTATGCTTCAGAGCTGTTGTGCTTGAAAGCCTGGTTCCTAGGTTTAGATTGGGCCTATGAAGGCTTCCTATAGTGTAATCGTTATTATGTAATTCATTCATTCTAGGCTATAATAATTTCTGTAATAATAGATTTGGGGTTTTTTAGTGAAAGCTGGGGGGGGGGGGGGGGTTCTTGTACCTTGCTGAAATTGGGTAGAGATCCCGCCTATAGGTTTAATTATGCTGATTGAATTATGTAGATACTATACTGTGTTTTGAGATCCTGCCTATAGGATTTTTCATGATCATTTTGATTTTGGGTTGCACATATGCATGCTAGAAACCCTACTTATAGAACTTTACGTTTAATTCTGCACATTAGAAATCCTGTTCATAGGATCTACACATATTTTCAACCCTATGTGCATTAGAAACTATGTCTATAGGGCTTTTGTTGATTATCTTTCATAACAACCTATTAATTTCTATCCAAATATGATTAATAATTATCATGCCTATAGGAATAGAAATCAGTTTCAAACCTAGAAATCATGCTTATAGGATTTGAAACTAATAGATATCATGCCTATAGGGTGAAATCAGTTTTGACACTTAGAAATCCTACCTGTAATAGTTTAAATCAGCCTCGCAATTAGAAATCATGCCTATAGAGGTTTAAATCAATTCGGCAATTAGAAATCATGCCTATAGGATCTAAAGGGAACTAAATTGTCTTTATAAGTTAAAATCAATGCTACACTTAGAAATCACGCCTATAGGATTCTTTTAGTCTATTATAAATTCAAGCGCTTTTGTAAATCACTTAGGCAATACATCCGTAGAACTTGTTAATAATTTTGGGTTTAAAACTGTGACATATTTCTGCCTGAGGTGCCCAGATTCATGCTGAATAAAAGCAGTAGGCAAACAAATAGGTCTTAATGCTCGCCTTAACAAGCTGTCTCTGAACCCTATTTTCTCACATAGATATCCCGCATATAGGATTTCCAAATTAATAAGTTTGCTGGTTCAATTGCGTGCTTTGTTGCTTATGTGTGGAGGTTAATATGAGCCTATACTTGCTCTTTATCTAAAAGTCCTATTCGCTTTTTGTGCATCGCCTAGATTTTCACATTTTAAAGCAAAATAGGTTGGTTTAGAACCATCCCAAATAGAGGTCCTAATACCTCCAAGACCATAGGTAAGGGACAGGTAGTGCACGCATAGGTACAATTTAGAATCAATGAGTGCGCTTAAGTAATAACTTAAAGATTGTAATTGGGTGGTAAAGGAAATGATAGCCCATGCATTCTATGAGTAAAACCCCAACTTGAGGGAGTTGCAAAGCATTGCATGGAGTGATTCTGTAGGCTAAAAAACTTAGGACCGCCCCCTATACTCCTGTTAAAATAAATTGAATATTATATTTGTCCAAATTATTTTCTTCCCTTTTAAAGACTAATTCGCTTAATTTAAGTTCGACCGGGATCTACCGTTGTGGACCTCTAAGGGTGCCTAACACCTTCCCCATAAGGTAATTTTGAGTCCTTACCCGATCTCTGGTGATGCAAACTGGTTATATGAGTTAATTGCTCTAGGTGCCCTAACACATCTTAATCCGTTAGTTGGCGACTCTTTCAAATCCAATTCCCTGCCCTCACGGAAAGGAGTTGTTCCAGAAATGTCGAAACCCGATTTCGCGAGAAAAAGGGGGCGTGATAGCATGACGACTCTGCTGGAAAAATCTTTAGGCTCTTACCATAACGAACTTATCTGTGAATTAGTCTTTAAGCATGTCTTTATTATTTGTTAATACTTGCACACCCCTTCCCATTCTACGTGAATTTATTTGCCT